GCTGAGTGGGCTGGGGGTAATGGAGAGCTATTATTGTTTAATGGGTAGAGAGTTTCAGCTGCGGAAGGAAAAAAAGTTCTGGAGATGGAGGTGGTAATGGTTGCACAACAAAGTGAATGTACTAACGCCACAGAACTGTATACTCAAATGTAGCAAAAGTGGTAAAATTTGTTATGTATACTTCGCGACAATAAAAAAAAGCAGAGTGAACACCAAACAGGAAAACCCAAAGAAATTCATGCCTAGATACATAATCAAAACTGTCAAAAACTAAAGATACAGAAGCCAATGAAAAAAGACACATGACCTATAGAATAAGTATTCAAATGATGGCAGCTTTCTCATCAGAAACCATAGAAGACAGGAGGAAATGGCGTAACGTTTTTAAAGCACTGAAAGAAAAGAACTGTCAACTAGAATCGTATATCTAACAAAAAAATCCTTCAGGAATGACGATAAATTAAAGACATTTCAGATGAAAGAAAATTAAGGAGAATTCCCAGACTGCTCTAAAAGAACTGCCAAAGGAAGTTCTTCAGACAGAAGGAAAAATAATACAAGGAGAAAACAGACTATCAGGAGCAACAAAAACTACAAATATCTGGGTGTAAATAAAATAAACCCTTCTCCTCGTAAGTTCTTTAAAATACGCTCGGCAGATGAAAGCAAAAAATCTAACATTGTCTGATGGGGGTTTTAATGTATGTAGACGTAACACAGAAAACTACAGCATAAAGAGGGAGGGTAAAGGGGTTCTATATGATGGTAGTTTCTACATTTCAATCAAAGTGGTAAAATACTGATTCTAAGTAGACTGCAAAAAGCTAAGTATGTATTTAGTAATCTCTAGAGCAATCATCAAAAAAATTATATAAAGAGATAGTCAAAATGAGAATACACTGAAAAAGAAAAATGATGCTCAAACAACACTTAAAAAGAGCAGAAAAGGGGACATAGAAGAACAAAAAACAGAGGAAACAATTGAAAACAAACAATAAAATGTAAATATAAACATATATATTAATAACTATATTAACATTAAATAGCCTAAATACACCAGTTAAAAGACAAGGATTGGGGGCTGGCCCAGTGGCCCAGCGGTTAAGTGTGCACGTTCCACTTCAGCAGCCCAGGGTTCACCAGTTCAGATGCTGGGTGGAGACATGGCAATGCTTAGCAAGCCATGCTGTGGTAGGCATCCCACATATAAAGTAGAGGAAGATGGGCACAGATCTTAACTCAAGGCCAGTCTTCTGCAAAAAGAGGAGGATTGGCAGCAAATGTTAGCTCAGGGCTAATCTTCCTCAAAAAAAAAGACAAAGATTGTCAGAAAGAACAAAGAAATATGATCCAATTGTTTACAAGAAACTTACTTCATATATGGAACAATAGGCCCCAAACAGCCAAAGGAATCCTGAGAAAAAAGAACAAAGCTGGAAGCATCACATTCCCTGATCTCAAAGTATACTACAAAGCTATAGCAATTAAAACAGCACAGTACTGGTAGAAAAACAGACACACAGATCAGTGTAACAGAACTGAGAGCCCAGAAATAAACCACACATTTATGAATAGCTAATTTTTGACAAAGGAGCCAAGAACAGACAATGGAGAAAGGAAAATCTCTTCAATAAGTGATGTTGGGAAAACTGGACAGCCAATGCAAAAGAATGAAAGTAGTCAACTTTCTTACACCATAACACAAAAATTAACTCAAAATGGATTAAAAACTTGCATGTAAGACCTGAAACCATAAAATTCCTAGAAGAAAATATAGGCAGTATGCTGACATCAGTCTTAGCAGTATCTTTTTGAGTATGTCTCCTAAGGCAAAGGAAAACAAAATAAAAAATAGACAAATAAGATTACATCAAACTAAAAAGCTTCTGCATGGCAAAAGAAACCATCAGCAAAACAAAAAGACAACCAACCAATTGGGAGAAGATTTTTGAAATCACATATCCAATAGGGGGTTAATATCCAAAATATACAAAGAACTTACACAATTCAGCAACAAAAAGTAAACAATCTGATTAAAAAATGGGCAGAGGATATGAAGAGACATTTTTCCAGAGAAGCTATACAGATGGTCAACAGGCACACAAACAGATGTTCAACATCACTAACTAATAGGGAAATGCAAATCACACAAAGAGATATCACCTCACACCCATAAAAACGGCTATTACTAAAAAGACAAGACCCTACTACCCAAAGCAATCTACAAATTTAATGCAATCCCAATGACATTCTTCATAGAAATAGAACAAAGAATCCAAAAATTTATATGGAACAACAAAAGACCCCAAATAGCCAAAGCAGTCCAGAGGAAAAAGAACAAAGCTGGAGACATCACAATCCCTGACTTCAAAACATACTATAAAGCTATCGTAATCAAAACAGCACGATACTGGCGCCAAAACAGACAAACACATAAATGGATCAGAATTGAAAGCCCAGAAATAAAACCATACATCTATGGACAGTTAATCTTTGACAACGGAGCCAAGAACATACAATGGAGAAAGGAAAGTCTCTTCAATAAATGGTGCTGGGAAAACTGGACAGCCACATGCAAAAGAATGGAAGTAGACCATTATCTTACACCACGCACAAAAATTAACTCAAAATGGATTAAAGATTTGAACGTAAAACCTGAAACCATAAAACTCCTAGAAGAAAATATAGGCAGTACTCTCTTTGACATTGGTCTTAGCAACATCTTTTCCAATACTATGTCTACTTGGGCAAGGGAAACAAAACAAAAAGTTAACAAATGGGACTACATCAGACTAAAAAGCTTCTGCAAAGCAAAGGAAACCATGAACAAAACAGAAAGACAACCAATCAAGTGGGAGAAAATATTCATAAATCATTTATCAGACAAGGGCTTGATCTCCAAAATATATAAAGAACTCATACAACTCAACAAAAAAACCCAAACAACTCGATCAAAAAATAGGCAGAGGATATGAACAGACATTTTTCCAAGGAAGATATACAGATGGCCAAGAGACACATGAAAACATGCTCAACGTCACTAATTATTAGGGAAATGCAAATCAAAACTACAACGAGATATCACCTTACACCGGTCAGAGTAGCTATAATTACCAAGACAAAAAACAACAAATGTTGGAGAGGCTGTGGAGAAACGGGAACCCTCATATACTGCTGGTGGGAATGCAAACTGGTGCAGCCACTATGGGGAACAGTATGGAGATTTCTCAAAAAATTAAAAATAGAAATACCAGATGACCCAGCTACCTCACTACTGGGTATTTATCCAAAGAACTTAAAATCAACAATACAAAGAAACTTACACACCCTTATGTTCATTGCAGCATTATTCACAATAGCCGAGACATAGAAGCAATCCAAGTGCCCATCAACTGATGAACAGAGAAAAAAGATGTGGTGTATAGATATATACACAGGAACACTACTGAGCCATAAAAAAAGACAAAATTGTCCCATTTGCAAACAACATGGATGGACCTGAAGGGTGTGATGTTAAGCAAAATAAGCCAGATAGAGAAAGACAAATACAGCAGGATTTCACTCATATGTGGAAGATAACAAATACATGGACAAAGAGAACAGATTAGTGGTTACCAGAGGGGAAGTGGGCTAGGGGGTATGCGAAAGGGACAAAATTAGACTACTGGGAGTGAACACAGTGAAGTGTATTCAGGAATAATAAAGAAAATAAAAAGGAGTAAATAAATAAAAAGACAAGAAATAACCAGGAGAGGATATGGAAAAACGGAATCCTCACACACTGCTGGTGGGAAGGCAAACTGGTGCAGCCACTATGGAAAACAGTATGGAGATTCCTCAAAAAATTAAAAATAGAACTACCATATGACCCAGCTATCCCACTACTGGGTATCTATCCAAAGAGCTTGAAGTCAGCAATTCCGAAAGTCCTATGCACCCCAATGTTCACTGCAGCATTATTTACAATAGGCAAGACATGGAAGCAACCTAAGTGCCCATCAACAGATGAGTCGATAAAGAAGACGTGGTATATATATACAATGGAATACTACTCAGCCGTAAAACAGAACAAAATTTTCCCATTTGCAACAACATGGATGGACCTTGAGGGAATTATGTTAAGTGAAATAAGCCACTTAGAAAAGGGCAATCTCTGTATGACTCCACTCATATGAGGAATTTAAAAATGTGGACAAAGAGAACAGATTAGTGGCTACCAGGGGAAGGGTGGGGTGGGGGTGGGCACAAAGGGTGAAGTAGTGCACCTACAACATGACTGACAAACAATAATGTACAACTGAAATTTCACAAGATTGTAACCTATCATTAACCCAATAAAAAAAAAATTAAAAAAATAAATAAAAATAAAATGTAAAGCTTAGATATGTGTTCTCAAGTCTTCAGTCACCAAATGAGTATGCTATTTCTTTTACTTAACTATCTGTTATTCTAATTTAGTATTCAATAATTTTGAGTTAAATTCATTCTAAAATCAAATTTGGTACCTTAATTTGGTACATATTAACAGATATTAAAAGGTATTTAAGTTTGATTATAGTTTAACATGTCATCTTAAAACTAAATGAGGGTTGGGGCCAGCTCCGTGGCCAAGTGGTTAAGTTCGCGCGCTCCGCTGCGGTGGCCCAGGGTTTGGATCCTGGGCACAGACATGGCACCACTCGTCAGGCTACGTTGAGGCGGCGTCCCACATCCCACAACTAGAAGGATCTGCAACTAAGATACACAACTATGTACAGGGGGTTTGGGAAGATAAAGCAGAAAAAAAAAAAAAAAAACAAGATTGGCAACAGTTGTTAGCTCAGGTGCCAATCTTAAAAAAAAAAAACAACAAAAACTAAATGAGGGTTGATAAAAGTTTTAAACAGGCATTCCATTAATACCACGGATTCCAGTTTGTGCTAAAAGATATAGGAACACTTAACTATGCCAACGGAGGTAAAATGCTTAGGTTAATGCAGTTGAAAAACTATTGTTATTACCTGTTGAACAGCTAGTGTACTGTCCATTTCATCGAAGGATTCATCAGGCCAATTATAGAAATCCTATAAAAAAAAAATTCATGGTTAAAGCACATACAAAGTTACAAAGAAGATGCAATACTATTATGATTAACTTCAATTGTTAATAAAGATCCAAAGTTACACTAGAGGAGAAGAAAAACCTTCATAGCACAAACAATGTGATTATTAGTGAATAAGTTAAAGGAGTTTTATTCAATGTTTTTAAAGGAACACCAAGATTTTATTTAATTGAATTACAAGCAATATATTTTTTCAACCACAAACTCCTCAAATATGGCTTCCATATTAGGTATATTACTTGAGGAGATACGTCTATCACTTTTTTGTTTATCATGGTTGAATATCTCTCAAAAAGTTACACTGAAAAAAAATCCCCAGGCACCAAAAAACTGAATCAGTTTTTACCTAAGGAGAATAGCAAGTGTTAGTAGTAGTAGTGGTAGCAATAGTAGTAGTTACTGCTCCATAAGTGTTACTGTAGACAGGTATTACAAATTATTATTCCAATTCCAAATAGTGTTTTAAATTTCTAAATCAAAATATGAGCTCCATCAAAAACTTCTCATCCAACTGAAAAGTCTTCTTTTAAGGGGGATATTTTTGTGGATCACCTTGCACTGGTTCTGAATTCCTCTACAGATACTCCAGTTCATAGACACTCCCCTAAGTGATTAAGAATCTTTCCATTTGACCGATTTCTCAGCAAAGTTTACCTTTATATCCTTAGTAGGGAGCACAATGCCTAACATGTGGTAGGTGCTCAGTAAATGTCTCTGGGGGAAAAAGTAGTAGTAAATCAATGATCTATAATCCTTTATCAATTAATACAGATAAGTCTCCAAATACCTTGAGCAAAAACTGGAGCAAACTGGAGAATACAGTGTATGATACCATAGGAATACACGTTTAAGAAAGTGCAAAGCATACTTATGGATATAACGCATATACGGCAAAAGTATAAAGAAAAGAAAAGAAATGACAATACCACCATTATTGGCTGGGAGGAGTGGCCAGAAGACAGAAGAACGTGATACAGAGGGATTCAACTATATAATGTCTTAGTTCTGAAGGTAGGTGATCAGTATACCTTTTTAAGGGTCTTAAATACTTCCTTTTGTTTTTTTTTCGTAGTTGCCCTATCTGAATGAAAATGAACTAACTTTAACTAAAAATGTCAGGAATGAAAAACTTTCTGGAAATTGTTCCAGGATGTCTTTTCCTAGACATCACCTAAACATTATTAAAGAGTAGTTTTTAAATTCCTTCTATATAACTTATACAGAAATATATTCTATCAATACATTTTGCCTATTCTTTCCTTTAAAAAAAATTAGATAGTTTTCAGGGGCCAGCCCAGTGGTGCAGCAGTTAAGTTCACACGTTCCACTTTGGCGGCCCAGGGTTCGCTGGTTCCAATCCCGGATGCGGACCCATGCACTGCTTATCAAGCCACACTGTGGCAGGCATCCCACATATAAAATAGAGGAAGATGGGCACAGATGTTAGCACAGGGCCAATCTTCCTCAAGAAAAAAAAATTAGATAGTTTCTAGAATATTTTGTTGTAAAAATATTAGAAAACACACATAGTTATATTCAGAAAAGATGTAAAAAAGTTAATTGGGAATTAAATGTTTTGTCTCATCATAACTGTGATATACTTTAAACACTTACAAGAGGAACCAAAATGCAGATTAAAGAACATTCTCATCTAATTCAGTCAATAAACATTTATGGAAAACCAACTATGTGCCTATATCCCAATCTAACCAATTAAAAAAAAATAAGTAGGAAGATATCCTACCTACTGTATTATAGTTCTAAATAAATCATTTTAGAATAGACCCATTTCACTGAAAGAAATTAGTGTGACAGACAAGGGATAGGACAGAATGCTGCTTAAACTGTCTTTTTTTTTTTTTAAATCTTAACCTTCTCTGTTAGATTTTACTTAACCTTGATCTATGACAACATGGCAACAAGCAAAGGGGCTTTCTGATCTGACTTACTCCTAACGACATGGCAAAGAGATGTGTTACAATATTAACTTAAAATATACTATGTTCTAACCTTTCAACATTAAGAACTTTTGAGTAAATAAAAATAGGTGATGCTTCTCAGCATGTGAGTACAAAAGTCCACTTCTGAATGTAAAAATATAAAAGCTGATCACTTAAGAAAACAATCAGAAGTAATGTTTCCACAGAGTAAGTAGTAAGGGTATCCGAGGAAAGAGCATTTATAAAGAAAGAAAGTTTGGAAAGGGTAAAAATAAAGAATAGTATATAAATTCCCAGTACTATGACCACAAAACTGGCATAAGTAACTGACAGCTTAACGTGACTCTATAATGAGACTGTCAACTACATTCTCTAAAATTCAGTACTAGAAGCAGGTCGTTAGAGAAAAGGTCCCCAGTGAACTAAGAATCCGGAGACTAGGCAACCTTGAGCAAATGCGGTTTCCTCATCTGTAACATGGATCTGGGAAGGTGTCTGGATCTAAAAGATCTCTTCAAAAGGACTCCCTTTCCAAAATCCTGTGCAAGATATTAAAAACCAGTCTCTGGCACACGGTCATAGCTCCATGGTTGTTTTGCTTTTTTTCACTCATATGACTTTTTCTTAAAATTACATTTTAACACACCTCTTCCGATTTTAGAGCATCTACTCAGTAGCAAGCCATTTCAGCCGGCAGATTAATCAGAGCAAGTCTAAATGCCTATTTGATTTTTTTTTAAGAATGTGAGGCACCCCATCTTTTGCAAAGCCCAAGAACCAACACCTACCTAAACAAGCACCAACTCAGCCCAAACACTGTCCTACTAAAAGTTCATAAAATTATAATCCCTTCATTCCTCGACTATGCTTCACACGTAATAACAAGGAAATTCACAAGGAATGACATCTAACAAGTCGCAACCTGATGCTGAAAGCTTGCTGGACCAGAGAACAGTTGCAGCGAGCAGTGGTCAAAGGCAAACCGCAGGAGGAAGAGGATAAAGTCAATTATCGCCACCCGGATCCGGCTAGACAAGCCGGACTGCAGAAGCCGGGCACGTACATCACCAGCCAGGTAGGAACCGGCAGCCCGGACGAGGTGCGCTGCGTGTGCACCGCCTCCCGCTCGGCAGCCCCGACCCTCCGAAACCTCCGGTCCCTCTCCACCTGGCCGGCCGCGCCCCTCCGACGCGGGTCAGCCGGGGGTCAGCGGAGAGGCGAGAACAAGCGGTCGCCGCCGACAGGCTCCCAGCCCCGGGCCTCGCGGCCACCCCCGCGGCCCCCACGCGCCCCTCACGCCCACCCTCAAGTCCGGGCCCCGCAGGCCTCGCGGGCCGCCACTGCCGCCAAAGCCAGGCTGAGGTGCTCCGGCTCCGGAAGAGCAGGCCGGGCACCCGTGCCCCCGCCCGCCGGCCTGCCGCCCCGGTCCAACCTCCTCTCGGGGGCGGCCGGCTGCCAGAGGCGGCGCGGCGCCGCGAGTCCCCCCACAGGGAAGGTGCAAACATGCTACCTGCGCCTTGGTGCCCGGCCTGTTCCGCCTCAGCACTGCCGTGCCCTCCGCCATGACCATAGTGCCAGAGTCTGGGCGGCTGGAGTCGGTACCCGGATGTAGGGACGGCGGCCTGCGCGGGGGGCGGGGCGGAGCGGCGCCTGGGTCCGGGCGCCGGGGAGGGGCGGCGGCTGACGGAATAACCGTACCCGCGCGGGGCAGGGCGGGAGGACTGGGAGGAGTCGGGGGAAAGCGCAGCTGGCGGAGGGAGGAGGACGATGGAAGGAACGGCCGGCCAAGCGCCAGCCGTGACGTGCGGGGAGGGAAAACCCGGGCGGCGGGGCCCGAGAGTGGCTGCGGGAGAGGCCGCCGTCCAGCGCAGAGGATTGTGGTGGGAGTGTGCAAGGTCTGCGTACGCGATGGTGAATCTCCTTGTGCTGACGTTTGTTAAGGTGGAAGGACTGAGCTTACACACAGGCGACTGTTTCAGTAAACCCTTGTGCAAGCAAATACCTAGAGAAGTGTAATTCTGTCCCGAAATCCACCTAGGCGTGCAAAGTGGAAAACAGGCCAGCAGTCTGGAAAAATTCCACAGACCCTAAATGAAATCGACCGATCTCAAATCAGACTGCGGCCTAGAGCGTCAGATGATACTTCCGCCATCCACTGACTTCAAAGCCAAGGACCTTTTGAATGACAAGTTTGTTTGCGTAGATGAAGACCCAACTGGCAATTATCTGAGACAGAGTGGACGGACGTCTGGTATTGTGCGTCAGGCAGACAAAATTAGCTCGTGTTTTTTGCAAGTCAGAAGCAGGAGGAGAAAATGAATGTCCCTTGGTAAATGATGGGAGTTGTACATCTTACAGGATTCCAAATTTCCCTTGTTGCAAGTTTTATGTGTTCTCCTAAGTCATGAAATCACGGCAGTTTTGGCAAACTTTATTTTTATTTCCTGCTTAGAAACCTTAAATTTTTGGTCTAGAATGAATGAGGACTTAGGATACCAGATGGGAAGATAGTTCAGAGGGTAAAGAGTGCTTACAGTACAGTGATTTCCAAGAGAAGAAAACACATATCCCATGAAATACACCTAAAGGTGTATTGAGAAGGCTGAGAGGAGACCTATGTCACAGCCAGCCTCCAAAGATGGAAGTGAGGGGTGGAGGAGAGGCTGGTTAAATTGAGCGAATGCAAAGCTGAATAATCATCAGTGCCTTGGAACTTTGCTCAAATGGGTTTGACAACAGGAAGTTGGTTGTCTTTAAGTAAGATCTCATCTTTCTGGAAGATGTAGACTGGTAACTTTGCAAGAGCAAAGACTTAATTCTTAATTCCATCACTACCTCCTAGATATCAAAAGAATTTTCATTCAACTATTTTTTTCTTTAAAGGTTGGCACCTTTGGGGCCGGCCGGTGGCACAGTGATTAAGTTCACACGTTCTGCTTTGGCCGCCTGGGGTTCGCTGATTTGGATCCTGGGTGCAGACATGGCACTGCTTGGCAAGCCATGCTGTCGCAGGCATCCCACA